TGGAATTCCAGTTTACAATTCCTGCTACTCATAGCAGTGATCTTCAGGCTTAATTGGACAAAACTGCAGACTCTTGGAAAACCACCCAAATCAAATTTCAGCACTTTTTTGACAATTCTCACACATACCAGTAGACAGCTGGTAATGGGCTGTATTAAAGTACATTCTCATCTGGTTTTGCTCTGGATTAGGCTGCTGCTTTAAAAATGTAAATGTTAACTCCCAGAACAAACTTTGCTTGATGATGTTAAGCTTATGTGTAAACTGAAATGCAGCAGACTTTCATTACAAGAACTCAACCATTTAAAAAGATGAAAATTACAAGATGGGGCACATTTTTTAAACAAATATTGGAACATTCAACCTGCATTTTTTTATTATGTTTCCCCATCTAACACTTCTATTGCTGCATATAAATGAAAACTAATGCTTCTTTAACACAAAAACTGTAACGGATCAAAAACCTTCTGGACTGCTACAACTCCTGCAGGGAATCTGCCTCATGGTTATGGCAAAGCAAACTTCTGATGTGTGGCAGCTGATTGCACTCTCTTCTGAGCACCACCCGGGTGAAAAGCAGGCTCTCCTGCGTACACACAGGGCACCAGAGTGCCACATTCCCAAAGCTTTTGTGCACAGATCCTCCACACACAAAGCCAGGAGACTCCATCCCAGTGTAGAGGACACGCTGCAGGAAGAGAGGCAGGGTCTAGAATAAGGCACCACATACATGCTTTTGGTAAGATCAACCCCTCCAAGTTTTTTGTCAGCTCCTCAAGCAGCATATTTCTTACATCTGGCATGCAAAATACTGTAATAGTGAAGAACGTCCCATTTTGATTTAAATGAATGCATTTATTTCCAAATGGGAGACCGTAAGTTAAACAAACACATTTCTCTCTTTGCACATGAAAGCATTGTTTTGTCACAGATGTACAGTATAATACATTTATTTTCTCAATTGTTTTGTATTTGTAAGGCACTGCCAGTTATTTGGATGGGTTTGTAAGGATGAAGCAAATTGCTCTGTGGGGCTCTATTCAGGGAACATAATATTCCCACAAAAGCACCATAATTCTGCATGCAGCAACACAAACTGCCACCACATTGCAGCAGCTGGCAGGGTGGATAGAGTTAGCATTATCAAAACCAGCATGACAACTCCACTCCAAAACCCCCTTACATGCATAAATTAATGATGAATGTACATTGATTAGCCCCCACCCAGACTCCAAGGAACCCTGCCTTCCCTGCAATATAACTTGGAACCTCACCACAGTTAGTTTGGCCATTCACAAGGCCTGGGGAGCACTTCAGCTTGTACTTGAATTGCACTGGCCTTGCCCAAACCCCTTGAGCCCCACTTGAATATGTTCACTGGGAAGATTAGGGACTGTGGAACAGCCCCCGAGCCACGGGCAAGAGCCAAGAACACAGAATATCATCAGCCACATGCCAGGAGGTGCATTTTGGGAGGTTTCCCACACAGAAAGCTGAGAGGAAGAAGATCCTGACAGGGACTCTGTTCTAGAAGTTAGATATAAATTCAGCTGCACCTGTCCTTCTGACCAACTGCCTCCCTGCTCCAGGCAAAACAAGCTGTCACACAAACACTTCACAAGACTGTGTTTTTCATCACAACTATAACAAGCTGGAAGTATGCACAGACTCAGTGGACATTGCTGCCCCCAAACTCTCAGGGTTTTCCATCCATTTGCCAGCTTCCTCCACAGCTCTGTCTAACCAGTTCCCACCTGGCACACTCTGGCTTCCTGAAACTTTACCAGAAAGGTCTTCCTATCCATTTCTAAGTCCTTCTGGTTACACAAAAAAGGGTTTTTTAAAAAAAAAAAAAGAAAGAAAGAAAATCTGTGTTCTTAATGCAGGCTGACTAACCCATGTTAGCTAACTCAGGTTAAAGCAGTGAAGAGCAGGCAGCTTGTCCTGGAGGCTCAAGCAGAACATAACAAGGTAATTCACATTCCAAGTCAGCTTGTCTTGTGTGATATTGAATTTGAGTGCAATGCCTTTAGCATGCATAGGTAGATAGGTAGGCTTGTACTGAGTATATAAGACAATAATAATGATACACAGGCAGAGTGAATACCTAGATCTGATAGGAAAGCCTCCTGTTCTACTGCTACCTCTCTAAAATATTGCTGCAGTTCCCTGTCAGGTGACTTGACCTTTAAATGCACATCTTCACTTTGTGATTAGTTTCTGTGGGTCATCTATGGAGCTGCTTAAGCCAGGCTTCACCTTGCATACTAATGACTCCTCTCAGCCTAGGAATATGCTTTTGGGTGCTGCTTCTGTTACCATACCCAAACTCAGCTTGAGAAAACCTTGTACAGCCTAGTTTATATGAGCAGGTGCACTGAAATTCAGCAAGAGAGGAAAATCTGTGTCAGCAGGAATATCAAGAGAGGAGTAGTGCAAGGAGGCCTTAAAGAAACAACCACCCCTTGCTTTATACACGTTGTCTCCTACAGACATGAGAGCTGGAACTTCCATGAAGAGGTCTAACAGGGATTGAGACACTAACTTAAAGGTCTAGTCTCTAATGGAATCCTTTTTCCAGCTATAGAGAAGTTGTTTGGGATCCCATTGCTCCTCTAAGCCCATCTTTCCATCACCTCTTTGTATGCAGCATCATTTAGCAGCTTGTCTTCAAGCAGTAACAGCTCATGACCTCATAAAATTTACTACTTATAGCACCAACAGATAAAAATAAAAACAATGCAGAAGGGAATTTGGGCAGAAAAGAAATCTCAGCTTTCTAGATTTTTTTGCAGGATTGTTTTAGCTTTGATCAGTCAGCTCTACTGTGGAAGCCAGGGAAGAGCTGACTCAGTGAACACTCTAAGTGGTGATTACACACAGCAACCTAATGACGGCAAGATGATGTTGTGGTCACTTGTGTACAGCTGCTGAGCATCACTGGGAGAGACAAAACAATAAGGAAGAGCCCTGCAATTTATTGCTGTGCTTCCTAATCGACCAGTAAAATTCCTGTTGGCAGAGTCCTGAGGGAGGTCTTGAACCTTTGCTGGAGCTGGTGGCCGGCAGAAAAAGGCAGTGTCAGATGAGTTCTCTAAGCTCTTTGCAAAGGTGAGCCAGACCATTATCCTTGTTTTGCACATCTCCATGTGATCAGCCCAAAGTGACTTAATCAAAATGAGCCACCCCTCAAGATGTCCAGCCCATCTTTTCTGATTCCCAGGCTGTCATTCATCAAGCTACAACAACAGATCCCTGGAAGACTACAGTCTCTGACCACTGAAATGGCAGTGAGCAAATCCCATAAAGAGCACGAGAGCTGGGATGATTTTCCTGCTGCTGGTTGTTACCTGAGAAACTTCTAGAGAGGCTGTTCTCACAAACAGGACAGGAAGGCAGTGCTGTTGCAGAGTCCACTGCATGGGTGGGTTGATCTCACTGCCAGCCACAGCAAAGAGAATAATTACACGGAAATAACTCCAATAGGAGAAGCAGATTATCTGTGCATTTGCTAGCAAGGTGGATGAGGGTGTTGCAGAATCCTAGAATGGTTTAGGTTGGAAGACACCTCAAAGACCACTTAGTTCCAAACCTCTGCCATGGGTAAGAACACCTTCCACTAGACGAGGTTGCTCCATGCCCTGTCCAACCTGGCCTTGAACACTTCCAGGGATGGGGCGTCCACAGATGCAGAGTCTGTGAGACCCCCATGCCAGGGTCTCACCATCCCCACAGCAAAGAATCAGATCAATTAAAGGTGTTTACTAATTCAATTACACCTAGACACTGAGGAGCAACAGAAAAGAGGTAGATAGTGTGGCCAGATGAGAGCATAAGAGCAGGTCAAACAGATTTTAAAAGAAGATTTGAAGTATGAATTTCTCAGCCTAAGGCAGCAGTTGCAATGAAATACACCAATATCACATGGCAATCAATACAGATTGAAAATGGGTCAGTTTTACAAAACACCTCCCCGTTTCCAAGTGGATCATTAAGAAACGGGAAAAAAAGGGGGAACTATTCACTGCAGTTACAACAGCTGACACTGTCTAGAGCTGAAGTCATTACATGACTTCATGTCTGAAAGGAACAAAAAGAAAACAGATCCCTTTTTTTGGAGCCCTGCGTTGAAACTGCCAGTCTGACTCCCAAAACAGGAGAAGCAGATTATCTGTGCACTTGCTAGCAAGGTGGATGAGGGTGCTGCAGAATCCTAGAACAGTTTAGGTTGGAAGACACCTCAAAGACCATCTAGTTCCAAACCTTTGCCATCAGCAAGGACACCTTCCATTACACGAGGTTGCTCCATGCCCTGTCCAACCTGGCCTTGAACACTTCCAGGGATGGGGCATCCACAGAGGCAGAGTCTGTGAGACCCCCATGCCAGGGTCTCACCATCCCCACAGGAAAGCATCAGAAGTGTTTACCAATTCATTTACACCTAGACACTGAGGAGGACAACAGAGAAGGGGCAGATGGTGTGGCTGGATCAGAGCACAAGAGCAGGTCAAAGAGATTTAAAAGAAGATTTGAAGTATGAACTTCTCAGCCTAAGGCAGCAGTTGCAACGAGATACACCAATATCACATGGCAATCAATACAGATCGAAAATGGGCCAGCTTTACAAAACACCTCCCCGTTTCCAAGTGGATCATTAAGAAACGGGAAAAAAAAGTGGAACTATTCACTGCAGTTAACACAGCTGGCACTGTCTAGAGCTGAAGTCATTGCATGACTTCATGTCTGAGAGGAACGACTGGAAAAGGAAACAGATCCCCGTGCGCGGGGCTGAGCCGCCGCTTCCCCGGGTGACCGCGAGGGGTCTCCCCCGCTCAATCCCACCGCGGGGAATCTTCTCCCTATCCCGATGTTCTGTCATCCCAATCCATCCCTGCCCCCGCCCCAGGACACCTAACCATCCCAGAGGTCCCCGAGCGCCAGGCCACTAACACCTCACAGCTCCTCACCAGGCTGAAACCGTGTGGTTGATGACACATCTCTCTGTGGTTTTATCGCGTGTAATCCCACACACAACCATTCCCGGGCAAGCAGAACAGGCAGAGTCCCAGCAATGACTCCACAACCTGTCTGCATGGTCACAACATCTCTAGCTGCCTGAGACGTGCACACATCACGAGTGTGCCTCATGCTAGAGGCAAACACATCGCTGCTTCTTGGAGGCTGCAAGCACCAGTGAGGCACCAGATTTCACGGGATGGATTGGAGCCTCACGACTCCAGGTGCAAGGACAACAAACAGGAATGCCAGTGGTTACAAAACATGGACTGTAAGTAACTGGTGGGTAATTATGGAGGGACGTGTCTGTGTGGCTCAGCTCCAACATCAACAGAGGGAAGAGCCTTGCCTATTGAGTCATCAGCAGCATTTCCTTCCAGCCCCTGGGTTTTCCGACAGGTCCCCTCTGAGTTACTGTCCCAACCCACAGTGGTTGAGCTCATAAAGGCTGCTGAGCTCACATCCCCAGGGAACAGGGCGCCAGTCCCCCACAGCCAGGAGAGGTTTCCTGGCCACAGCCATGCTTCAAGGACATGGTGCCTCACCAGCCTCTTTATTACAGCAACTGAACTGAATACCAACAACATTCCACTTCCAGCCATCACAGAAGCTTTCAAGACACCCTGTCATAACCAGCCCTGTCATAGCCAAACAAGGGCTGCTGGGGAGAGTTTTGGTGCCCCACCCCTTTGGTTATCCATGAGCCCCAAACTGTCCACAGCCCGATTGCCCCCGTGTAGGAACTAGGTCAGCACTTCCTCTGCAGGATGAGAATTTGGCTAATGAGAGGTTGTTAAATGAGAGGAAGATGTTTCTTAATCAGGGAGCAGATAGCACCTAAAAACTGCAGAAGTGTGCCAGACCTTCGCATTATCACAAGGGGAGTGAACACACGGTGGGGCATCTTTACTGTACCTTCTAGGTTTGCAAGGCTACCTGAATTCTTCTACACTTTCTTCATTTCTGCTATTTAATATGGACTTTTCATTCATTTTCCAGTTTGTCCTACTCTTTCCTTCTGTTTTTCTTCTTTTTCTATTCTTTTCTCAGTTCCATGTTCTGTTTCTACTACTGTCCCCAACCCTTCCAACAGAGCTGAACAGTGAAAACATACTGATCTGTCTGTTCCATATAATTCCCACTGTAATTTTCTCTCAACAGATTTGTTACCTCATAAAAAAGTCACTGAAGGGCTTCAACGACATGCAGGACCTTAGGACTCTCAAACCCTCATCTCACTGGATCAGGTGCCAGGTCACACGAACAAAGCATCAGGTTTGATGGGGACCAGAGGGTATCTGCCAGGGTTCTGCAGTAAAGCACCTGCTCAGCTGCCTGTGGGCTTTTCTGTGCTACTGCAACAGCACCTTTACATCTCTACCAGAGCAGAGTAATTCCCCAGGTCTGCAGGACATCTGAAGACATTTCTGAAGACCAGATAAGAGGAAGCTGAAAAATTCAGCTTCAGAACCGCATGTGTCTCTGAAACAATAAATGTTTTGAGTGATCAGCATTTCTAGGCAGTGAAACAAATCAGTGTTTCCATTCCCGGGGGAAGTGGGAAGCAAGCAAACTCCATTCCTCTATTCCATAGCATACAGGAAACCTAAGTGATTGATAGCAGCAGTAGGGAAATGCACATTCAGCTTATATTTCCAATGTAAATGACTTGCCAGCTCACCCCTCTGCTTCCTGTTCCTTCTCAGCACGCTCCCCCACACACACTCCCGCTGATCGATGTAGTGTGTGTGAGTCTGGGAGGAAGAAAGGAAGAAGGACTTGTTAGACTGCTTCCCCCCACCCCAATTTAAATGAGAAAGATAACATGCAAAACCAAAGGGCAAACAGCTGTTCAGGATTGAGCTCTTTTTGCCCACAGACCCGGGGTGTTGACATGGGGAGGGACTAAGGAATCCTCCAGCACTGCTCCCAGACCCCATCCTGTGTCAGGTGCAGAAGGCCCCTGCTCTTACAAAACATCCCCTTGTATTACAAAGGTCAAAGCAGTAAGCAAAGAGGCTTTTTAGAATGCTGCACACCGTTTGTGGGACCTGCCTGGCTCACAGGGGCGCCGAGACACAGCGACTGCCAAGGCAAGAGAAGGAACGCGGCGAACATCCGCTCGCAGGAGGCGTGCCCCTCTTCTTTCCCAGGCAGCTCACTGAGAGGTGCTTATTTTTACAAAGCAGGCTCTGAGATCTTAAAGAACCAATGTTGTCGTGGTGCCCTAAACCAATGAGTATGTGACCTACTCGTTCCCACTCTGTCCCTTGACCTTTTCCCAGAGCATTCTCCAAAAGCATCACGTGAAAAATAGCCCTTTCTCAGCTCTCCAGAGGCTTTGGAGACAGCATCAAAGCTCTGTGCTTATAAACAACTCCAACTAGGCCAAAATGCCATTCCAGCATCAGGGGTCCCAGGATTTGTAAGCCTGTCACAAGGAACTGGAGGGAGAGGGGGCAGGGGAGAGGCAGCATGTGTTGCCAAGAGAAGGGGGAAGCAAGAGCCAGGCAGCTGGAGTGAGAGCTGAGCTCCATGAAAGCCCCATGGGCTGAGACAGGGTTTGCCCACACACCTCAGGGATCTTTTCACCTCCTTCCTTATTACAAATAGCTCTCTGAGCATAGGCTGAAGGATCATTTACCTCATTGATCCTTCAACCTAATTTTCCCATTCTTACACCCTTCTGTCACCTTGCACATCCACTAACACTCCAGCATCCACTCTGGAGGAGAATTTACAGCCCAAGTGAAGATAGAATTCAACAGACTGCAGAGCAGCAGTCCTTGGGCACCAAGATTAGCTATTTGTTGACTCTTCAGGATTTAATAGCAGTTGGCCAACAAATACCTACAGGAATCCCTGTCAACTCCCCTGGTGTCTCACACTGCTCCTGCCTTTTGCTGAGAAAATTTTAACTGTTCCCAGTTTTTGTGTTTCCTCATAGCTCCAGATCTAGCTTCCCTTGGCAATGTCTGCACACACTCCTTGAATACCTCCTGGAAAGCAAATGCATCAGAAGGCACTCCGTAACCAAGTGAGACTTCTCCTCAACCATCACTCTCTTCCTCTGCCTTCAACCCATTCTTCATTTTCCCCTTTATTTGTCCTCCTATTCCTACCACAGGCTACAGGCAAGGCCTCCAGCTGGGCAATCCATAGCGAAGGCTGTTCGATGATTAATTACAGCTCAGGGACCACAGTCCCTTGTTTCAGTGTACAACTGTTACCATGAAAACAGCAACATGCAGGAAAGAAAGGAGATAAGTCCCTTGTAACCACCTACCAGCACGTCACCACTGTGCCTGGAGCTCCAGCACTCCATGGTCACGTATTCCATGGTACAGCCCAGCAGCCAAGGGAAGTCATTTTTATGTCTGGATACGTGAACCAGTGGCAGTGGCAGCCAAGCAGGCTGGTGTTTGTGTAGCTCTTACGTGGCAATAGGGACAATTATTGCCCTCTTGCAGGGCAATAATTTCAGTCCCAACAAGGAAACTGGATAATTAGAGAGAAAAGCAGCAGGCGCTTCAATCATTCCGACCGCGTCAGGTCCTTTCAAATGTCACGAAAAGAAATGGTGGGATGATGAATGCCTTGACTCACTTTCAAAGCACCTGATCGGACAGCCAAGAGGAAGTAACAAGGTTAGGAGGGCTCCATCATCCTTCCTGCTTCCTGGGGACTGACCCTCGAGGGTGGGAGATGTGAGACAGGATGGTGTGATCATAGGATGGCATAAAATAGAAATACAGTCATGTGAGTTCTTTTGCTGTAGATGTTTCCAGTTAAGGAACAAACCTCCTGACTTAACTCTGGTTGATCTTTTTCATTTTGTATTTTACCTGTAGCTCTTCTTCACCATTTTCCCTTTTATATAGCATCAGAAAAGCATTAACTCATGACTTTGTTTCATTCCATTGACATAACTGCTTAAATATCCTTCCTGATGTTTTGACATATATCACTTGGACAGACACTTAGAAATTTAAACCACGGAAGCGGGAGGACATTTTAAAAAATTAGAAAATATGTGGACAATTCCTCTGTTATTTTAACAGTATGAAGACTCAACACTTGTGTAACTCTGCCAGCAAATGCAGGGAAATATGTGCTTACATGGCACAAATATAAAACTGAGCACATGGATTTTTAGACATAAGCCACACTTTTGCTACACACCCTGCACACACGTTGTAAGCCCCATGTTCACAAACACACATTTACAGCACATAAGGCAGGCACAGATTATTTTCAGTGCAAAGCACCTTTTTCTATAGACAACAGGAGCATGTGCACCAAGGGAGCACACATACACTGAGCATGCAAACAAAACATCCATTCATTCCATGTAACAAAATTTAGGTCTACTGAATGAAGAATTGCACCTGTGTATCCATTTAGAATAAATCTGACATTAGCAAATGTACAATTGCTGTGAAAGGAAATAATATATCTGATGCACTCAACAAAACACCCATAATTGTTCAGCCCAGAAAACAGGAAAACAGAACAATCAAACGAAATGACACACACACAGGCACTGCATGTGTACAGAATGTACACTGGTGAAAGCACACCATCATAAACAAACACACTATTCCCAAAAGACTTATCCATACCCTAATGCTGTGCTGAAATGCACACAGGCAAATCCTTAACCATATGCTCACCTGCACAAATATGTATCAGAAGAACAAAATCCCATTGCACATAATAAGGAGACCAAAATGCACACTTTAGAAATGAGGAACACACTACACAAATACCCAACTGGTGCATAAAAGTGTTATATATGTGCTCCATAGGAGATAATTCATGTGTCTTAAGTACAAGCTGGAGATAACAAGCCTAATGCACTGGGGGCTGCATTTTGCCCTGTAGTTCACAGCACAGCACACAGAGGTGGGGCTGAGGTCACATCTGGCCCCACACAGGTTCAGTGACTATAGTTCACATGTAGAATATGATTTTCTCCCAGAAGAAGCACCTGCAGTGCTGCTGTAATTGCCCAGAGCTAGCCTAGAACTATATAAGCTACTATGTCTGGACTGCCATTCTGCTGCACCAGCCAATAAGCCATTTGGAGATTCACTGGCAATTCTGCCATTTTTTTACCCTGTCTAGGGTACTCAAGAATTCAAGTTTAAGGGGAGTAAACTACTGCAACCCTTACATGGGGTGCCCTCCCACCTTACTGCCTTTACACCTGCAGTGGAGGGCAGTCCCTAGCTCCACTACAGCTTGAGTCATCATCTGAGCAACAAAGCAACTGCTGGAGGTGGGGGATAAAGGCATTTTACTCCCCTATATTGCCCAGATAAGACCTCTGATAATTTCACAGTCAGACTATCGAGTACCTAGAGAGAAACAAATGCACCTGATCAAACACATCGCTGGGCAATGCCAGACCAGCCAGGCAGGACTCCAGCATTCATCAGAAGCATGAGGAAGAACACACTGCTGCATGCCTGAGGCCTAGAGACAGTCTTCCACTTCAGAAAGGTTTGCATACAGAGAAAGCACTCCTATTCCACAGCTTCTGTCCAATACAGGCTAAATGTGAAATCCCAGTGACCAGCCTGCAGCTCGAACACCAGACTCTGCTTCAGCTGCTTCACTTTCCACACCCACTCCAGACACCCAAAAAATCCTGTGGTATGTGATCATTTCATCTATTGCAGCTTGTTAAGAATGCCTGAGCTAAACTCACCATAAAGGCTTAGAAACAGCATGTTTGCTCCTGCTTCCAGAAGTGTCCATTTCTCTCTACTGTGATGAAATCTAGACTAGCTTAGATACATCTGCCCACGTTAAGTGACACAAAAGGCCATCCACATCTCTCCTTTGGTCCTTCATCAGGGAAATGGGACTCAACATCGCTCCATTAGCTCTGCCAAAAGTTACAGTCTCTCTAAACACTGTGAACTGCACAGCACCACACATGGAAAAGGATCTCATCCTGCTATCACAGCCCAGCCTGATGGCAGAGCAACAGGGTGGACTCTTGCCTCATCCCTCCCAAATGCCTGTGACCAAGCAAAAGCTGTGGAAATCCAGAAAAACAGGAAGTATCTTTTTTCTCCAGGTGCTCTATATGGTGAGTAGAGCCAACCAAAAGAAAAACAAAACAAACCAGGAGAGACTAATGAATAAAAATAACAGACTCTCTGCTTTTCTTCTTGTGATTTCCCCACCCCAGACAGCTGTAATGTGGAAAGTATTGAAATTTAAATCACACCTCAGCCTAACCTCAGCTGACAGGCTGCCGAGGCAACAATCTCAGCCTGGCTATCTTCTCTCAGGGAGAACGACAAACCAACTAAAACAAAGTGATAAATTTTCAATTTTATTTTAAAATATACCAGATGGGAGATTTTATTTGAGTCATAAATATGTCAAAAGCAATGTTGGCATATGATTGGAGATTGCCCCCACCAAGGGAACAGCTCTCCTTGTTTAGAAGTGCTATCAGATTCTTAATAAGAGGCTCCAGTTGCACTGCAGCAAAATAGTCTGTATATTAAGCCAATTGAATGTCTATTTGCTAGACATCTTTCTTCTCTTCTCTGCCAACCTCACGTTCCAAAATGCAGGAGAAATGAGGGTGTTGAGGTCAGACCTAAGCATCGCCAGTCTGGGTTCTCATTTTGTTGTTGGAACATGGCTGAAAAGTATTTGATTTCTCGCCAGTATTTGAAAACTGAATTTCACATCAGTCAATGAAGCTTCCTTTGATTTCCTAGAATCCCAACCGGTAGATGTCAACCAAGTTCAGCCTCAGATTTAAAGTAAATCAAATTCAAGCCCTTAATCCCAGCC